TTTCAAGTATTAGAAAAAATATTATATTTTGATTCCCACTTGCAATCCAACCTATTAGAAAAATGTAACAGTGTAAAAGATAAGTGTGCATCCTTCCCTGCCATTCATTTGATTATAAAAATTTTAGTATTTATAGGTAATATAGTATCTTAAAAAATAAGATACTATAGATATATACCATACATTCTTAGTGGGGGTGATATTGCCCCCAAGTGTTGAAAACTGGTTCTTGGAGGGATGTATCTTAGGTATTATAATGGTTTGTGACACTCTAAAGGACTATAGGACACAAACAGACACACAGTAAAACTGTGGTATTAAACTATAATGAGAAGGAGGTGATAAGGAATAAAAATGTCTAAAAAAGCTCCTTGGGGGCAATAACAACAAAAAAAAAAGATTGTGAATACACATATATGTGTAAGTGTATATACACATACCTTTATGTACACTATTTTTTCTTTTTAACAAAAACAGAATATATGATACAGTATATTCTGTCTCTTCCTTTTATTATTATTCAACGTGCTATGTCACATGTAAATCATAGTTGCATGCAAATCATTTCAGAGGTAAGGTAGGTAACATCAACAAGACAAACAGCGTTTGGGGAATAGTGTGGACCGTGGCAAAAATGTGAGCCCATGCTTCTTTATAAGGAACATCAACTCCTCTACATCAGCTCCAGCTGATGGTTGCTATGTGGGAATTTAGGCCCACTGTTACCTTATTCTCTAATTTTTCAAGCAATGGAAGTCTAAATTTTTATGTATAATCTGAATTTTGAATGTTGACAATAATTTTCCCATGAGGGTCAACATTATGTGGGTGAAGCAAAACAGGTCTGGACTAGCACACAATGCTGGCTTCCCTTTGGACTTGTTAGGTAGAAGTTCAACTCAGGGTTTTTCAATGAAATGTTGACAGACTAACTGCAACACAACTTATGTGATTTGCTCAAGCCTACGGAATCAGAAACTCTGTGAATCTCACCCAGGGATGTCACTTTGTAACAAGGAGTGTCTTACATAATCTCAAATTTGAGAACCAACTATATAGCATACTTTTCAACAGGTATATAACAATAATTGAATTCCGAAGTATGAGAGTATCATACTTTGTCAAATCAATTTCCTTGTAAGTGGATATTGAAGTTGCTGCCAGATTTTTTCCTTGGTACCTAATATTGCAATAAATGTCTTTATGCACCATTGTTTTTATTTTTGTAGGATAAATTTCCCAAACGAGGATTATTGCATATAATGTTAGGGTCTAATAGATGTTCATTTTAGAGTGTAGTAGATATTGTAAACTTACTTTAAAAAGGTTTCAAAAAGTCACATTCCAATCAGCAATATACATGAGTGCCCTTATCCTAGGATCCAACTCTAAGTATAATAGAAACTTCCTTCCAACTTGATGAGTTAAAAACATTCTTTAAGTCCAGGCATGGTGGCTCACGCCTGTAATCCCAGCGCTTTGGGAGGCTGAGGTGGGTGGATCACAAGGTCAGTATTTCAAGACCAGCCTGGCCAATATGGTGAAACTCCATCTCTAGTAAAAATACAAAAATTAGCTGGGCATGGTGCCAGGCACCTGTAGTCCCAGCTACTAGGGAGGCTGAGGCAGGAGAATCGCTTGAACCCGGGAGGTAGAGGTTCCAGTGAGCCGAGACTGTGCCACTGCACTTCAGCCTGGGCGACAGAGCGAGACTCTGTCTCTAAATAAATAAATAAATAAATAATAAAAATAAAAACATTTTTTAAGTGTACAGTATAATGTACTGATTTGGGGGGCAGTTAAAAGTTTTTTTTTTTCCCACATTTATAAGTTGTTTGCAATTCCTCTTCTTGAGGGAGTTTACAGACACTCACCAGCTGAAAATGGCAGTTTTGAAGTATTGAGAGTGAGAGAGGGTACATCTACATAGTATCAGTTTCCTTGATACCCTTACCTTCTTCCCAGGGTAGAACCCTCCTCCCAAATTTCTGTTACTCCTCCCATACAGTGTTCATAAAGCCACTGATTATCTTTCACCCTCCTGTGAGGACTCCATGTTTTCCTTTGGAATTATTTTCACTTGCTCATTTTCTTGGCCAATTTTGCTGTTTAATTTTATATCTTTTTCTTATCTATTTTATGTAACTCTGTGCAAACTAGATCTCTAACAATTTGCCTAACATACTGTTTTAATAAAACAAATTTTAAAAGTTACCGTTTTACTTAATACTCTACTCAATTTTGAGCAAACTTCATTTGATTTTAATCATAGCAACCATTTAAAAAAAGCTGCGCCATTTTAGCTTGTTTCCTTTCTGTAACTGCTTTTAGAAATTCACTTTCTTTAACAACATGCATTTTCAGCATAATGCCATAGTAAGTTAACTGTAGAGAAGTCACTAATGAATATTATTTTACTTTATTAAATAACAGCAAGGGAACTATAAACATGTAAATCATTTTACATGCAACCTAAAAACTTTCCAAACTCAAAAATGGACTTTTTTTGGAGGGAGGTAGCTTTCTCTCAAGAACTCTTATTTCAAAATCCAAATGGGATTTCAAAATACAAGTAAATAAATGTCAAAGCCTCTTGGCCTCTGCTCTGCCATTCTATGCCTGAAATCCTGCCAAAATGAAATTTTCCATTCAAAAGGACTGGCATTTACTAAACTGATTTTTTAAAGACATTCTCAAAAAGTAGTGGAAACTTTGTCCAGCTTTTTATGTTCCTGTCTTGTAGACGGAACAGCTGCCTCTGCAGATATTTTCCAAGATCTTACATTTTCTGAAAAACATATTCTCAGCGCTTCCACTGTCTTCAGCAACTGGGTCTATTGGTTTTTCCCAGTGCCAAGCATAGAAGATAAACAACTGCCAAACTAGAAGCTAGTGTCTCACTGAGTATCAAGGCACAGAAAGGACAGAAGAGATAGTGTTTCATTAAGTATCAATGCAGAGAAAGGACAGAAGAGAAAGTGGGAGAAAGAAAAGAGCGTGGTTCAATCGTTCACAGGCAAGAGGGACACATTTATCTCAAAATTTTAGGCTGTTTCAACAAAACCGAGCTGTAGTGAGACTAGCTGCTTATTCACATGAGAACATCATTTTTAGTTACTATGAAGATCAGAGTTAAAAGATATGAGTTCGTTTAAAGAACTCAAAAGGGAAAATATGAAGCCACCGCAATAGTAAAATCTGAGGCTTACAGTGCAGCGCCTGAGAGTGCCAGTCCACTAAAGGGAGGGAGAAGGGGCACAGAGTTTATGGGGGCCTGGGAAGGAGTGAGAAGACTTTGGAAATGGAAACTAAAACTATCAGCCAGCGAAAATCATCAATATTCCTAAAAATATATAGTAATAATAATAATAAATAAAAGCTTTAAAAAACTAACAAGACACTGTGGGATAAAAAAAAAAAGTTAGAAATGAAAATTACAGAATGTTAAGTGAAAAAACTGAAATCCATCTACAGTCAACAGTTTGCACTTTTAAAAGCAAGGACTTGAAGCAGCAAGCAAAAGTTCCCAGTCCTTAAGACTTTCTCCCCACTCTCAATTCTTTCTTTCCTCTAGTGCAAAAGCTGCCTTAAGCAGTGCACGCCGGAATGATCCCCACGTGAGCCTTCCTTTAATTTCGGTCTTAATTTTTTTCTCTCTTGTTATTACTCCCAGACCCCAACCTCCTTTTCCTCATCTAGTATCTGTTTCGGGGACGGGACAAAGAGAAGTCAGCGAGCTGAAAAAAGTTTTGTGGTTTGGGCGACTTGGGCCTTTGTTGTGTCATTTCCCCCTACCCCTCCACGCCCCCAACCACGTGACCAAGAAGGGCCGGAATTTTGTGAATGGAGACGAAAGGTGGCTGTTGGGGCGGGCGGGACTCCGCCCCCTTCCCTAAAGCGGCCAATCTCCTAGCGGAGCGCTGAGGGGTCAGCAATAAACAACAATGGGCTGGGGATTTACGGCTCGTTATTGGCTGCAGGAAGAACCTCGCAGGGACCTAACCCGAAGCTCCGCCCCCTCGCGGTTACCCTGGATACCCGTCAGGCTCCGGCTGCAGAGAAGGTCTTTGGAAACTGTTGCTCAGATTACAGGCGCTGGGTTATTCCTGGAGTGAAGGGTGGTGGAGCACCCTTGTTATTGACCTCCTGCTTGGTTGCACCCTCAGATAATACCCATGAGCTTCACTGTTCCAGCCTCCCGGCCCAGGCTCTTCCTGGAATCTCTCCTTGGCCGGGGTTAAAATGCAGTTCCCGCTCAAAATGCTTATAGGTGCGCGCGTTGTGAACTCTGATTTAGTAGTTTCAGGGAATGCGCGGGGTCTGTCTTTGCTGTCCATAGTTATTGGTTGTTTTCCCAGTAACAAGTGTTGATTTTGTTTGTTTGTTTGCTTGTTTTTTAAATAGATATTTCTCCTGCATAGGTCCGAGGTTGAGTGCTGTGCACTCTTACACTCCATTTTAATGTGTCTCCATAACGTTCCATTTAAGGAAGGAAACTTTCAAATAGAAATTGAGAACTGCAGCACGTTTCCTAATGGGCGGAACAGCTGCCGGAAACGTCTTCTGGTCACTAGTTCTGGTCACAAATCAATTTCAACAGCATTGAGTCCCTGGTCCTATCCCCGCGGCCTCCCGTCCCCTGTTGGGCACTGGCTCCTTAAAGTGACGCTTTACTGTTCTGAGTCCCATACGAGGGACAGGGCAAGTGGCTTCGGAGATGCAGCCCTCAATTCTTAACGTCCTAGTTATTGTCCTTGAAACCCGAGTCGTCTCACCGCTCGCCCCCAACCCTGGGCTCTGGCTGTTTAAGAGCTGTAGAGGAAGTGAAAGCGTCAAGTACATTAAGTGACACCCTCCGCCTCCGTGTATACATAACAAAAGCTCAGGAAACGTGCGGGTTCTAGGATAAACGAGCCACCCCAAGCCCTCCCTCCTACTCCCCACAGCCACAGTGGACTGGAAGTACCTTTTCCCGGTGCACACGTAGGGACAATTTTGACTTACACTTTTTCACCTAGCTTGCTCTGTTGTCCTCCCATCACAACCTCTGTTAATCAGCAGTTCTGCATCTCCTAGGTGCCTTCCTTATAGATTCTTTAGTTTCTGTCCCACGAACGATAGGATCTAATTTTAGTTGAGGATGAGTGTTAAAAAAAATGTTTTGATAAATCATAACGGTGATGGTGGGTTTTGAAAAACAGGAAAATAAATTGGTCCAAAAGCTTAGTGAGAATGAGGATCTAAAGAGCGAGGTGGGCTCCTAGTCCGGACAAGAGTAGAGGGGTTGGAGATCCTGTGGGCAGGGCGGCTGAATAAGGAGGTACGGGCTTTGTGGATCGCGCCTCTAAGTGTATACCAGAACCGCACAACACTGCTTTAAGGGAACCAGCCCAATAGTGGACCTAACACCCCAATAATGGGAACTGGCGACTCGAAACACATGGTTTCAGTATCCCCAGGCGCTTTAACAATAAGCAGCGGGTTACAGAGGAAGTCGAGTCTCTCCGTGGTGCTTCCAGGCTGAGGACTCAGCGCCTACCGGCCGAGCACCCCCTAGGGCAGAGGGGCGAGGGAGACCCGCGGGAAGGGGCAGCAAGCCGCCTGATTGACAGCCCGAAATCTGATCTTGTGAAAGAGACGCGGAGCCAATGGGAGGCAGCGATCCATCAGTTTGGATTGGAGGCCCCTGGAGGAGAAGTAGAGGAAAAACCACCGAATTGAGCTCTGTCAGAGGCGCTTTCGGCTTCCAAGGGGGAAGTGCTGGGCAATAATTAATGTTTTTATTAAATTTGGAGGGAAGTTTTTGCAGCCTTTCGCCTAGCGTGGCCTTCAGGTGGGTCTTTCCAACAACTTTTTATGTCTCTCCAGATAATTGCATGGTTGTGGGTCGCAAAAACTATCCTGATGAAAGAGGTGTCTCCGTCTCTTTAGTCCCGTTAGGTGCAAAGCAAGTCTCGTTGATCGCCATTGCTAGTTTTGCACACGTTTGCGAATCAGAGCTGCCCGGGGTACACCGACCGCGCAGGGAAACATCGAGAGTGTAAATAAATACATCGCCTCTTGTTCGGATTTTTGCTACTACCGAAAATATGTAAATTGTGAACTCTCTTGGCTGTCTTTGGATCCAGGTGAAGGAGGCGGTGTAGGGAGGGTTATTTTTGTGAATGGGACTGTCTGAGGGTAATTAGCTATGCAAATTCAAGAGCTTCATTCATGATTTTTTTTTAAAGCCTAAAAGCCATCTTGTTCCCCTCTAGGTTGATAGAAGTCCAGATCCTGAGGAAATCTCCAGCTAAATGCTCAAAATATAAAATACTGAGCTGAGATTTGCGAAGAGCAGCAGCATGGATGGATTTTATGACCAGCAAGTGCCTTACATGGTCACCAATGTGAGTGATCAGTTTGAAAGTTGCTGTTTATAAACTTGACTCCGACGGGGGTGGGGAGAGGGAGAAAATGAGAAGGGAGGGGGCACGGGGTTGGGATTGCAGATACTTATCTGCTTTGTTGCCACTGTAGGGCGACTCTGCTTCTAGAAGCCCAGTCTTCAAAATGAGCTTACCTTTCAGTGATTTGGATAAGGCATAGTTTTGTTTTTAAGACCCCTTTTTCTGATTAAAGCTCCCAAGATGAGTGGAAGAGGAGATGGAGGGCAGCAGCAGCTGCTGCACTCAAAGTTTTTGGCTGGGTTTGTCTGCCACATTGAAAAGAATGAAGTTGAGACAAATGCTGACACTTTTTGTTTATATGGGGTGTTTTTCTTTCTTTCTCTTTTTTTTTTCTCATTTTCTCTCTCACTTTTTTTTTTTTTCATTTCTCTACCCTTTTTGCTTTTTTTGTTGGGGGGGGGGGTTGGGAGAAGGGGCTGTCCAAAAGAGAATAAAATCCACTGTTTTAATCTAGCATTGAACCAGCCTAAAAACAACTTTAAGTGTAAATGCTTAAGGTTGTTTTGATGCTGAGATACCATGAATATACGACTGATAAATAGTAATATGCTAGGATCGGCACTGGGAAGCAACTCTCCCTGACTGCTTAACATAAGCTTTCACTGTCAAATAAGTGAGAAAATGAATATTAGAATTGATACTATGGACTTTTATTTTTCTATTCAGAGAGAAGATCCATTAGACTTATGTATGCATGTCTCTGTGTGTGTGTGTGTGTGTGTGTGTGCGTGTGTGTATGATTTGAGGTTTACATTCTTTTAAAGGATTTTATCTTTCCCTTTGTAGAGTCAGCGTGGGAGAAATTGTAACGAGAAACCAACAAATGTCAGGAAAAGAAAATTCATTAACAGAGATCTGGCTCATGATTCAGAAGGTGAGGTTTGATTTTGGGCTGAATCCCCATTTTTTTACCTACACTCTCCACCCTGCTAAAAGAAAAGGAGCACTTCAGTCTTATCTTAAAAATAATAAACTTTGAAATTACTGAATTTAACTGAGACTTCAACTTGGAACAATTTATATAATGTGGCAGTTTGCATGGGAGACTATTTTATGGTCCTATCACAAACTAATGAAAGAAGGAAATAAAATCTTAACATTGACAACCTTCTTTTAATCATTGTTTTGTGTTTAAATACTTTTGTCCAAATGGCATATAACTCACCCCATTCACTAAGATAACAGTTTAAAAATATCCAATACAGTGGGACAAATTCAGCAGCTATGTACACTGCTTACTTTTTTCTTTCTCCTTTATTACAAGTTAAACAATATTAGTGATTGTTTGGTTTCCCACCCCCTTTACACTAAAACCATCTACTGTTTACAGAATTTTCAAGGGTGATTTTGATGACTAAATTGTGAGGTCATAATACCTTGTTTATTGACCATAAAGTGTTCACTGAATCATACTTAAGGCCTACTTAATAATTATAATACTATTTGGGAAATTAGTTTGCAGATTCTTTTGATGAACTGCTGGTAGGAAGTCAATATATTACAAATTATTTTAGCTATATGAGGACATTCATAATAAACTTAATATACTTAGATTTAATTATTGAAGTTTAGTTGGCAATTTTAATTAGATATACTAGATTCTGAAACTTCCTCAAATCTTCATACTATTTCAATACCTCCCTCATTCCCTAACATGACCATATAGTTTTGAACTTGATGATAACGTGGTGCCAAAGAATTGTCTTTCTGACTTTTACAAACCTATTAATGTAGACATTTTCCTCCAAAAACTTATATTTGAAGTGGTTTCTTTTAGTTTTGAGGTATTAAAGTTGAAAACATAGTACTTTGACAGTTGTACCATGTGCCGTTATATTTTTTATGTAAGATTTAGAAGATATGAATAAAATGCTTTTCATTCTTTCTAATCTTCCCCCTACTACTATTTTAGCAAGAGTTAAATATATTTAAGAAATATTTCAGTGAATAGACACACATTCACCTCAGTCTTTTCATGAATTCTGGTATCCCTGAGCTTATTAAGCTGTTTGTTAAAAAGGAAAAAGAAAAGATGATTGACTTTATTCTTTAGATGACTAAAATAATTTCTTAAAGAGTTGCTTAATAGGCATGAAAAGTAGGCAGTATTATTGAGATATTTAAGTTATGCCTCTTTTTTTATTTTTATGTTGACTGCATCTCTTGAAATTAAATTTTTATTTAATACCAATTTCATGACAAACATTTCCATTTAATGAAGACTAAAGATTTGCAAATCTTATGTTTATGTCTTTGACTTGTTTTTTAGAACTCTTTCAAGATCTAAGTCAATTACAGGAAACATGGCTTGCAGAAGGTAAGGCAAAAATTGCTTTAAAAGGGGGGAAAAGCAACTCTAGAAGAAGAAAAAAAAGAAGTCCTGAACTTGCTGTCTTAATATTCAGCCCAATTAATTGAGCTCTAAAAGAGCCACCTCATGTGTCATGCATACATTAGAGCCTCTGATGAGTTTGTCTTTGGGGACTCTGGGGCTGTACTACCCAGTGTCATCACAAATTACCAGGAGAAATTGCTTCCAGCTCACAATCACATCTGCTTTTGGCAAGAACTAATGCACCAAGACTTCAAGTTCTAAGCCTCTGTTCAGATTTTAATTGCAATTGATCAGGTTTATATTATTGTACCTCCAGAGACCTCCTAGAGCCAGAACCCGGCTGGCTTGCTGTTTCCTTTAGAGCAGCGCATATCATTATTTGGTGTTCTGGTGGAGGACTTTTCTGATGGCAGAAATTAGTTTCTCTGGGTTCATCAGGACGGGATGCTTCAAGATTTAAGTGCAAGTGTCTTCTTTCCACCTTGTTCACAACACAGAACGTTAGGTGTGTATCTAATACTTAGGAAATCTATGGGTTTAAAATAAATGGGAGATATGAGGATTTTTAAAATGTTTTCCATGTGTTACTATTCATGTGATGTTTGTTAAAATTGACCTTTGCTATTTTGTCAGTTTTATTAGGATTTATTTAATAGAGCAAGGGTACATTTAAAGGCATTACTTTTATTTTGGATTATTTTATGATAAAATTTTGTGGTTCTATCTGTTATATATTTTATTGTATGCAACTTTATAGGAAAATGAGATGTTGCTTCATAAAGCTTTATACAACTTCAAAAATGCCTAATATTGAGGGACTTTTGTTGGCATTCATAATTTGAAATTTTTCTTTTGGATTTGGCATAAAAATGTGAAATGTTAATTTTATGATGTGTTTTGTGGGAAATACAAAGAGAAAAATTATAGATATGTAAGCATTGAGTATATAGCAGTGTTTTTTGTGTGTTCACATTATATGGGAAACATGCAAGTTTTAGAACAGATTTTAAGATGGTTAAAAAGGAGAGAGTGGGTCTCTTTAAATGGAACCCAGGTGTTGCTGTAGCTACTTTGAGGCAGACTGATGTGTTTTATCGGTGGTCTTGAATGCAGTTGATCAAGTTGCTGTTAGCATGTAAAATAAGTTTCTTTGTTTTGCTGATAGTCTAGTTCTCCAAAGAGCTTTTTCAATCTTTATCAGTCTTTAAAGTTAAATAGCTTTCCTAATAGTCCTTTGAAAGGATGATTGTATTTACATGTTAATGAAGGTAAGACTTACTGAAAGTTTTGGCTATATTTAAGGATCATTTTGCTAGTTTCTGTAAATGAAACTTACTGCAATAGATTACTTTTTATTGCAACATAAGTCATATTCAGATATAACTTTTTCATGGAAAATCTGCATGGAGATTCTTGTATTAACTTATGCCTATTAGTTTTGCAAAGTCAAAGGTTGTGAGAACATTACCTTTATGAGAGAATTTATTTGCTTCTCCAGAATAACTTAAAATATGTATTTTAATTGTTCTGGAAGGTTTGTTGGTTCTTAGATGTTTAAATCTCATTGATTCCAAGTCAGTGCACTAGCTGGCAGATTTTGAATGTGCATAGCAACTCTGTTCCCGGAATTTTAAAATGTGGAATCTGTGACAGACTCTTACCATTTTATAATCAGTTTCAGTACGTTTCTTTTTTTTAACTTTTGACTTGTTTTGTGTCTTGTAGCTCAGATAAGTGATTTGAATAATTTATCCAAATTTATCTTTTAAAACTCTGCAGGGAATAGTCTTTCTCCGGGATTATTAACATACCTGTAAATCAAACCTGAAGACTTAGCATTACAAAAAATAAACCTAGAAAATGATCAATGTATTTGGAAGAACATGGACCTTTACTTAGAAAAGAATTGTTATTTCAATTAAGTTCAGGAATTAATCATGAGTGTTTTATATGAATTCCCAGGAGGACTACTATTTACAAACTATGGATAAGATTTCATTTTAGAATAATTTAAACATTTTCAAAATAGTTTACATTAATTTATCTAATCATGATGTAAGCAAAAAGTTGTTAATGTGGTGTTTAAAATCTAATAGTGAGAAAAGAGATCTTTTTAACTTCTTGTTTCTAGACTCCACTTTTTTTTTTGTTTTGAGAAATTAAATATATTATTTTACGCTGATATTTTAACTTGACTTATCCCACGTCTTGAACAGTATTTAGCTAAGAAGAGATCCTCAAATTACCCTAGTTATTTGTAGTGAGATGTGCCCATTTATGTCTTTCTGGACATCTAGAAATTAAAACATTGCCAAATTGGCAGACTATGAATCGTTTACATATTTCTTTTCATAATGTTCCATAGCCAAGAAAGTGACCATAGAATTTTAAGACATCTTGACCCATTTAAAAAAGATCATTGGCAATTTACCAAGTTTCTCCCATGAGTTAGAATTCCACTGGGAAGTTAAACAGGTCTAAAAACCTTATTAGACATGAGAGTCAAGTTAGTTGTCATATGTCATATGATAATTGTGTTTTTGAAAAATTATAAAAGTCCTCAAATATTTGTTAAATGATATCTTAGCATGTTTAGTTTGTTTTTTCTGTAAGACTGTTCATAAATTTTACCCCAAATGCAACATATGGATTAGTCATGGGTAAATTATTATGGATTATAAATTTTTTTTTTTATTTCTAAGGGGAAATTGGAATAGATAAGGCAGGACTGTTTAAGGGTGGGGATGGAACCAGTATTTTCAATTCAGTAAAGTCCTCTGTAAAAATATACTTGCATTCTACTAAGAAAGTTAATTCCCATACAGAGATTTAAATATGTTGGTGGAGAATACAACTTTACATTAATATCATTTCCCAAGAACTAACACTGCAATTTAGAGATTTTTTAACATCTAAACCCAGTTTAAAATAATTATCTTATTCTGAAGAAAATTGAAAAGTTAATATTTTCAGTGACCACCGTAGTTAAAAAAAAAAAAAAGTCAGGGACTATGCCAATTTTAAAATGTTGCCATAGACATTTTATGTTATAATTTCACTATGTGCAATTCTTTATTGATTCTTTGTCTTCTGAATTAGGCTGCTACTGACAGAAAGGCAGTTGCAATTATTTGATCCCATGAAATAATGAGTTTAAATATCAATCCTATCAACATCATGGTGATGTCTTATTCATAACAGCCTGAAAGTCATAGTTAAAATGGAATCTCTTGTGTATCCAGAAAAAAAATAGAAAGATGTAAAAAATTAAGAAAGGATTGCATTCTTACAAACTTGCTTCTTAAAGCTCACTTACTAACACAACTTAAAGGGAAATAATAATTTTCAGTATATATCTGATGTAAATGTATAGCTGCTCTCTTGACTGTTATTTTGTTTCCAGTCTAGATGTTCTTTCAGGTTCACGTTCATCAACAGTATTCTCTGTCTTCAGGGTAAAATGTTTCTCAGTGGTTTTGTATTGAGTCAAGTTTAGTGCTGCCGCCAACTCTGAGTAGGAGTTTTATCTCCAAGAACAACCTTTCTACAGCAAAGGTTATTACATCATACAAAGAAGGGTTTTTTTCTTTTGGTTTTATTTGACCTTCAAACAACAGTCATGTTGACTTAAAAGCAGAGATGTCATTACTCTCCCCTCAATTCGCTTTAATGGCTGATGCTAAATTTATATTCAAAATCATTATGTGATGTTTCTTAAGTAATATGTGCTATTGTTACTCACTATGTGTAATGTCATCCACAATATACAGTAGTCATAATACACTCATTTTTATTTTTCAAAAATCCTACTTTTAATGGAACATAAAATTGGTCATGTTCTCATGAATTATTTTGCCCCACTTGGTGCAATAAGGATTAAAGGCTTTAAAAACTACATTATTTCATGTGGTTTACATAAAACATGACTTTAGAATTAAGCATTGAATTAGAGAAGTCCATATAGTTTCTTATAATTGAACAACAATCATTTCATGTGTGTGTGGGCAGGGAGAGGATGGACTATCACCCTTCTCTTTGTTATACCAGAAAATAATCTAAAATATGAGAGAAAAACTTCTCATTTGAGTTTGACTTAGATAGCAAATAGAGTAAGTATATTTTATTTCTAAACATTCATTGGAATTGCATAAATGTTTTTTCATACATGTTTTATTTACAAAATAGAAATTTTTTTTAATAGAAAAATAGGATTTGGTATAGTATAGTGTAGTTTTTCCAGAGGATCCTAATAAATAAAATATGACTAAGCTTTTCTATTTCAGTTATAGAAAATCTGCAGTTTGTTACATTTTGTAGTATAACTTTATTCGCTTTGACTTGTGTATAATGTTATAATAAAAAAAAAAATAATAGAGTCAGACCTCTGTAGCATTAGAGAAAATATTTGGCTAGAAACAACAGCTAGTTGGCTCTGAGCTTCCCTTAAGTTTTCAAGTTACTACAGGTCAGATTTAGTTAGGAATTTAAGCTGATTTGACACTCACCACAACTAAAACTTTACTGTTACAGTAAGAATATGGAAATATGAAAATAATGCCTTAATCAAGTAGTAAAGGTGTTTTTGTCATTGGAAAGTTGCCTCCTTTTTTTGTATGTTTAAATATGTTTATATTTCTGCATAATTAATGTTTTTACATTTGTACAATCATTTTATTGTTAAAAGTGGATGTGGTATAAAACCAAACTTAGTGGACTCATGATTATTTTGTTCCATGGCCTGTAGCTTCACTTTAGGATTAAACAGAATACCACTGTAGGAAGGTGGATTTTTCTTGTTTTAATTCTGATTTGAAATAAATTTTAAATTTATCATAAGAAATTTGTTTCTAACTCTTTAATTCAAAGAGAAACACTACAAAGTTCAGCAAACAATCTACAGTATTCTTATGATAAAAATACTTGGATAATAGGCAAGAAAAATAAGGCATTTCTGTAATGGTTTTTCTTTTCCCTTTCTTGAAACCTTCTTTGCATTTCCGTCTTTTCCTTTTTTCTTCCTTAGTTTTATACATGCAAGTTTCTGTAACAAGTTACTCTGTAAAGCAGGTTGGGACATGTGTATGTATGTATTTGTGTGTATATATATGTATGTATGTATGTAACTTTGTAAACTTGTCATTTATTTAAATGTGTTCCTTTAATAGATCTGTGCTCTGAGACAGAGCAATAAAATTGGTGTGTTTATATTGCAAGTCCAAGTTTACTTGCTTTAGCTCTCTGGATGGGTGTGACATGAAAAGATTGTGGTTGGACCACATGGCTCATATGCTGGACTGTGTTTTTGTGAATGGAGGCAGAACTCCAGTTCTGCCTGCTTGTCTTGAGGAATTGCTGAGGAGATCAGCTGTCTCATTCACGGGCAGAAAGAATGACTCATACATCTTCCGCCTTGTTTGGCTCCAGGTCATTGTTACAGTGGATAGAACTGGTTTTAATTAAATATTAACCCCTTTTATACTTGATGTTTGTTTTATTTATAATTCTTCCACTTTTTCCTTAGCTCTAAAAGAAAACCCAACAGGCACATAGTTTGTAAGAATAGGAGGGTTTTCGCTTTCCTGCAGCCAACCTTGGAAAATTTTTCATTGCTTACTTTTTCTTAAGTAATGATTATTATTTCATTTGAAAGTTAAAAAGAAGTATAACATAAAGGCAAGCTATATTTAAAATCACCTATCCCCAAGGCAATATTAGTTAAGAAAGGATATTAAAATTAAAAAGGAGAATTGGTGAGTTTGTGACATATAGGTCATGATTAATATTTTGATGAGTTTCTTTCTGATAATATGTATTGATATGTAGCAAAAACAGAGAAAACAGTAAAACAACTTTGGATAATAATCTAGGTGAAGCAAATAGCTGAGAGTGCAGATACTACCCTTTTAAAGCCGAGATCCTGAGACTTGATGGCAACTTGTCTATTAATGTGCAATGAACTGATAGAGCCGCTCCAGCTATTACCAATAAAATCCACATGCTTAATCTCCTTGAAAGCATTTTATTGGTCTTTTGGTATATACTTTCTCCCCTTCTCCTTTCCTCCTCTTCCCCTTCGTCTTTAATTACATAGTGTGGGGAAACATTTCCATTCCCCAAAGGTGATTATATCAAGCACAGTTTATAATAGATAGTAGTGGAAAAAACATTGCTTTTTTAGGTTGACCCCTATTGTTAATTTTCAACTTTGGCGTTGGTATGGCTTGCTGCAAATTTTCAGGCAGCTGTAGTTTGCTCCTTCACAGTATTCCCCTGAATTGAAGAAAAAAGGAAATGTATGATACAAGTGTGGCAATACTTTGTCATATTTTCCTTGCCTAGATCCAACTTGTGTTTTTAGTTAACTGCTTTCCGTTTACTCTAACTTGAAATTAGAGGTATACTTAAGCCTTTGTCTATTTAAGTAGCATGCTGCTTCATTTGGTCTATTCAGTTTCTTAAGATTAGCTTCTGTGAAAATGTGAGTCATATGTTTTTTGTTAAAATTCTGTAATATGTTCAGGAATAAGTGTGAAGTATTTATTCAGTATGTTAAGGAGTTAGAACAGAAATAGGAATTCTTATTCTTACTCTTTATAGATTGTTGGTGTGCAGCTATTTTCTGTATATTTGCGAGGTGTAACTTCTAGATTATTCTACTCCTAAAATTTGGCCCTTTTTTCCTCACACATATTCCAGCACACATCACACTCCCATCAATGACTCTGTGCTACTCTTGCAGTGACATATATTACGAAGTTGCAAATTTGCTTACCATACTAGAAAAAAACAAACAAAAGACCTTTAGGGCATTCATATCATTATATTCAGTTACAAATATACTTTTGTTACTCACCAGCTATTTTTAACTTTTCCTGTAAAGGGATATTATATTTTTATCAGATTCTTGTAAATGTTGGCTTTTTAAAAGCCCAGTAATTGTTGTGGTTGATAAATTTGCATCTCAATAGTTATATCTGTTTAGCTGTTAATTCTGATTGAGAACCAAAACAAGGATATAATGGGAAAAATGTGCAGGATTTGATTCTGTGTACTTGCTGTTATTTATTAAATATATATTTAAAACGCTTGTAATTTTTTTGGTATGAAGACTTACTTGAAAGCGCACCCTTCGACTTGTAATTTATGAAAATTTTAGAACATTTTTTTCTGCAATGTCAAAAAAAAAAATGTTGTGTTAATAGCGGAGAGAATGCTAATGTACAGATTTTAGCTGTTTCTTTGCCTCTCCAGTAGACTTCGTTACAAGTAAAGATATTAAACCGAGCAATCTAATGACAAGTACTTTTTTGTGGATGACTTGAAAGACAAGGGTAGGTGGGTAGAGGACTGGAAAGAAGAAAATAAGGAACATTTCTTGAGTAGCTGGCATTGTGTTTAGACTGTTTCATTTAATCCTTGCCAAAAAACCTGTATTTGGTCACTATTAAACTGATGAGTAAAATTCAATTTGACGAGGTTCAGTAACTTAACCAAAGTTGCACAGCTAGCATGTCATAGAATTAAGATTTGCAGTTCACTCACTTTAAAGTTGTTACCCACATTATCAGATATTAGAGCAATATGAAGAGAAAAACATTCTCCTTGCAATATAGGCTGATCAAATAGGCATCAGTTAAAACTTGAAAAAGTTCTTAATTTGTTTGATTTTGTTTGGTAGTGGGGATAGAGTGCATTCGTAATAAAGTTAATTATTGGTATAGAGAAGAGAGTTGTTAGAAAACAGCTGAATGTCAAACTGCATACATTTTTATAATAGGCACAATTACCAGATTGTTATGCTCTTCATAATAGAACATAAATTTTATTCAGCCAAATGTCTGTTTTTAAAGAATAATATTAAACTAATAAAAAGAACTTTAATTCTGTATACTGTATTCTTTTTTATATAAAATTTTTTAAAAATATAGAATTCCTTTTTATGTAAATTTTTTTCTTAAGTCATTCAATTATCAACCTAAAGCATTTTCAAAAGAGACTGTTTATTTTAATAAGCATTCCTCATACAGAATAGGCTCATTTTGAAAAGTTAATTAACATCTATTTAAATATGACTTGGCTGGATAAAAAGTTTCAGTATTACGTAACACTAATAAAGTAATACTAGCTAATCAAATCGCAGCTAAAGTTAATTAGGATGATAATTCATTATATTTTTATCAAATTAAAAGTAACCTAACTTCTATTTTTTGGGGGTGTGTGTGTATTTATGTGTGTTTGTGAAAGCTTATTATTAATATTCAGTTTGGAATAGGTTACTTCGATGTCTAAATTAACTGTGATGAAAACGTTTTTGAAGTGAAAAATGCACTTGTGTTTTGATTGCTGCCAAATGTATGAAGTCCTTGCTCTTCAGTATTTTTCCTTTACTAAAAATAGGAAAGTCTTTTGACATTAGGACTGACGAAATAGTGATATTCTTTTTGTTAATGCCTAGTAGTTGCCAGGAAAATATTTTGAATGAAAAGATGACATTTGTGTTATTGTTTATTATTTTATTAATATGAATATAATCTTTGAAATATAATACTTTATTATATATGAGCCAAATCAAGGACTATTCTTCCCTTTAAAAATCTTTGTAGCATACTCTGGCAAAATTCAGGGCAAGCGTTTTAAAATATGGTGTATTTTGCAGGACAGAGAACATACCAGCAGACGTTTCTAAAAAAGCGGAGGGATGTGTGTGATAACTGCACATCACTTAAAATAATTGTGTGGTTAATTTAAATGGGCTGCTTACACACTGGCAGTGTGAAATAGCTTTTGCTCCATTCTTGGAAAAAAAAAAACTGTAGGAAATGGAAATTCTGTAGCTTTCTTTATTTTGCATCTCTTTTATTTCCATCTGGCAGGTGAAATTCAGAGGGAATACACCTGCTATAGTCCTATTTCTGACATATATATGGTTCCTAGTTGACATCAATGATCCCCTTCCATTTCCCCTCCTAAGTAGTGTTGTCAATACCATTTTAAATAGGAGCTCATTGGCAAATAATCATAGGTTTGATCTCAGCCTAAGAAGATCTTACTTGACAGATTTTACTTGACATTCCTTATGCTTTTGGCAGTTTTTCTCTTAATTTTTTTTTTTTTTAATTTTCTTTTTCTTCTTCAGCTCAGGTACCTGACAATGATGAGCAGTTTGTACCAGACTATCAGGCTGAAAGTTGTAAGTATAGTATGACTCATCTCTTGTATTTTTCTGTCTTTCTGGTTTCCTTCTTTCCTTCTTTCTCTTTGGTTGGTTTTCACGTCCAGTGTCTTGTCTTACATTGTACAAGCGCCTTTTTAACTTACAGCCATAAGATGATTTGATTTGTCAGGTTGTGACATCAGCAGAAACTCTATTTTGAGCAGAATCCCTGAATTCTGTATATTGGAAGAGAACTCCAAATAGTAGGCAAGGAAAACTGAGTTGATTGAAAGATGGTCTTGTTCTTCGTATCGGTAAATATCTTTGGGAGGAAATAGGGTGTGATCCATGAACATGCACATGTTTACTTCCAGTTTGCCAATATGCTTATAGAGAAATGCCTGGATGTTGATGGGAGATAGAGTTAAAAACTACTTGAGATTAGTTATTGTATAATTTATAAAAGATTCTGGAGCAAACATTCATTGGCTTATTGTAGTATTTTAAATTCATGAATTGTCATCTGCTTTTATTTAATTTTTAACCTGAAATTTTCTGCTTCCTGGTTGCAGTAGCACAAATGGAAACAGCCATTGGCTTCTCTCAGGGTTCCTCCTTCCACGCTCCTTTCCCTGAGCCTTGCTCCCAGGTCTGTCAGAGAATGCATGAGGAGTTATTCATGGAATACTCACTGTCCCTTAATTGCAGAGTGAGCATTTTGCCTGTACAAACATGGTTGCCTCGGGGTTTACTGCTGATGTTTATAATTTGCCATTCTACCAGCTAACTGCCACTACTGACCAAAGGAGCAAATAGTAAGGAAAAGGGTATAAATGCCATCTTATTTATGAAACTGGCCTAATGCATTTTTATTCTGTTGGTGACATCTAAATTTGTTTTATTTTTTCAGATCATTGATAGTATGAGAGGAGGCAATATCGGTAGTAACAAGAGATGCTTGATGTCTTACAGCTTATGAAACCCATATGTTCACACCTTTATATCATAAATCTAATACAAATACCTGCATTACTTCAAGTAACAGATGTTTGTGGGCAATATTTTCAGCATTTATGTTTGGTATATTAAATTTCTCAGGCGTAGAGGGTTGTGCAAGGTTTTGTCCAGATTCTTTAACATGTTACATGTTTTAGCTCAGCTTGGTTATAAAGAAATCACTGTGGTAAAATATACGTACAATAAAATTTACCATTTTAACTATTTTTAAGTTTGTAGTTCAGTGGCATTAAGTACATTCACATTGTTGTACAACCTTCACCACTATTCAACTTCAGAACTTTTTTATATCCCAAGCTGAAGTTCCGTACCTGTAAAACAATAACTCCCATTTCTCTGCCCTCAGTCCCTGATAACCGCTGTTTTATTAGCTTTATTTTTGATCCAAGAAGAAGACTGTATAATGCTATTTGATGTCTAAATGCAGGTATTTGACATAGGCTTTCAAGAAACTTACTCAGCAAATATATAGAACTTAGACACCCTTAGAAACACTCCCAGCAGAGGATGGCTCACACAAGTCCTCCCCTTCTTGATTAAAGTCTGGGAAGAGAATGGTCATATTCCAACATTTCCCTGCCTGTGAGCAGTTGAATTCTTCTTTCTAAAAGCTAACCACGTTGTCTGAGTGAAAGAATTAAACTTGTTGATATTTTACATCTAAAGTAATTGGTAACAATTCCATTACTATAGCAATTGTCAGGGTAAAATGAACCACCTAGAGGTAATTTTTTACTACTTTTCTTATTTGACCTCTTTTCAGCTTTTCTTATTGTTGAATATTTAATCTCTTTGAACTCTTCTTAAGGTCACACGGGCATGATTTTCTTCCTTTTTTTTTTTTTTTTTTTTTTAAACTCCCTTGACCACTCCTTCTCTCTCAACTCATTTTCCTTCCCTCCTCTTTGTGGACCTCTTCTTTCCCTAAGGTTCTGTCCCCAAACCTTTCCTTTTTTTTTTTTCTTTCTTTTCTTTTTTTTTTTTTTTTTTTTTGAGACAGAGTCTCGCTTTACTGCCCAGGCTGGAGTGCAGTGGTGCGATCTCGGCTCGCTGCAAGCTCCACCTACCAGGTTCACGCCATTCTCCTGCCTCAGCCTCCGGAGTAGCTGGGACTACAGGTACCCACCACCACGCCCAGCTAATTTTTTGTATTTTTAGTAGAGACGGGCTTTCACCGTGTTGGCCAGGATGGTCTGAATCTCCTGACCTCGTGATCCACCTGCCTTGGCCTCCCAAATTTTGGTATCTCAGGCGTGAGCCCCTTTCCTCTTATTTTACATGCACCATGCCATCACTGTCCCATAGAACTTTCTGTGATGGACATGACTACACCTGTGCCACCTGATACAGTGTCCACTAACCACATTGGCCGTTGAGCACACAAAATGTGGTTAGTGGGACTGAGGAAATGAATTTTTAACTTTATTTAATTTTGATTATTTTAAATTTAGACATGTCTGGCTACTGGCTACTATATTGGGCTGCACAGCTTTGAACAACAATGTCTTCCACATTGTTGTCTCCAGCCTGGCTCTTCCCTCTGAAGCTGTCTATTGGACATCCTCACCTGATCCCCCGCTAGTGTCCCTGTGCAGATGAGAAAAAGGCAACACCTCTGGACTCACTCCCTCAGCCCTCGGCTGTGCATTGCACAAAACACCATTTACACGCCAACTCCAATCTTTAACGCAATGCTCCACAGGCAGTTTACACTCGGCAAGTCCAACAGTGAAGTCACGATTTTTCCTGACCAACGTTGCTCTGTTACTTCTGTTGCCTTTCTAAGTTAGTGGCATCACCATCCAAACTGAAATCCTGATATTTATCCTCAGAGAACTCTGTTCTTTACCATAAACCTCAAATTGCTAACCAAGTTGTTGATCCTAGCTTTCAAAAATATCTTACTTTCATGGCCTCTCCTTCATCCCTATTTCATTGCTTTAGTTCACACACCTACATTCTGCCTTCACTGAACTTCTGAGTCAGCCTTTTGGTTGGTTTTCTTGCCTTTTGATTTTCCCTCTTTGCAAGCCGCCCTGTGCAGTAGCATTAACACAGAGCTATTTGGCCTTGTTAGTTTTCTTCTTAAACTGTCTGCAGGACAAAGTCCTATTTCTTTAGCTGTACAGAAAATTGTTCTATAACCCAGGCCTTGACTATCCTTTTGGTTTAAACTCTTGCTACTCCAGTACCGTGTCTTTTCCTTTCCTCTGTACTTTAGCGCTTCTAATTTTTCAGTTCTCTGGGCAGATTGAGCTGTTTTAAGTCTCTTTGCCCTTGCATATGTTCATTTTGCTTTAAAAGTTTTCATTTTTGCTTGGCAATCTGGTGAACCTCCTATTTCAGACTCTGCTTAGATTTCACCTCATTGAAGTCTTTCTCAGCCTTTTCTTGCCACCCTAGCCCCACAGAGTTAGCTGGACTCCACCGCATCTTGTATGTTGTTTTTATTATATTATAGTATTTTAGATACATTTGTGTCTTTGATGAGATTGTGAACTTCTTGAGGGTACACGAAGCATGTCACATTCAGCATGACTTGCATGTTACAGAAGAATAATAAGTAAAATTTTTATTGTGTTCTTGATCACCTTCTTAGTGCTTATTTCCTCCTAAGCATTTTAAGAGTCTTAATTCCTTTCTTAAGGTAGAAACATATGATATGCCTTAAAACTGCACATATAGTCTCATTCTGGGAAAACTTGCCAAAACCGGGAAAGTTTAACCAAAGGTGTTCAGAATCGTGAAGGTTTATTTTACTTCAATTAGAGAATATTTACAGTTTAACCAATATGGCTTTGGGACATGTAAATAAGACACATAATAACTAAAAAATACCTATAAACAGAGGCAAAAATAAGTCTGAAATAGCCTAATTAAAAAAAAAAGTGGAGGTATACGTTATTTCAAGTTTTCACAGACATGAAGGACTGTTGTTCAGATCACAGTGACCAACTAATTTTAGTCTTCACTGAAGAAAGGACGAGAGGGAAATGATTTAAAAAGAAGAATAAGGCATTTGTATTAGATACTAAAGAGGATTTCTGGATGCAGAGGTTTATCAAATATTGGAATTGAGAGGTTAGATGGTCTCCAAAATGCCTTTAAACAGATGCTTGATTCTCGTCCGTCTAGGTATGCTTAGTGGGGGCAGAAGGATCCTATCTCTAGAAAGAGAAAGAAACTCCATCCCCTCTGTGTGGCCTGTCTGTAAATTCTATGCGTATAGTTTTGAAAATGTGAATAATCAGATTTCCTTGCATACCTCAATGAAATAAGATGCTTCTGCCTTAGCTTTTACTGCTTTAGTCCTTTGGTGAATGAAGGTTAAGAGAATGAAGAACAAAATTTTGCTCAATACTGGATTATAGAACATGCATTTGACTGTAACATGTTTAAATGCATGTAGAATAATAAGGATCAGAGCATCCAAAAATTGTGAAAATGAGATTAAACCATAACATTTGAGAACTTTCTAAAAATTTCCCTGAGCATTATTTATTGCTGTTTACAAAATATTTTCATTGGAAATGTGGAATCCGGTGATGGTGTACTATAAATTACTAACCTTTGAAGGATGCTAACTTTGAAGCAAGTATAGGCATTAAAAATAAGTGAAAACAGAGCCTGGGCATGGTGGCTCGTGCCTATAATCCCAGCACTTTGGAAGGCTGAAGTGGAGAATTGCTTGAGCTCGGGAGTTGGAGACCAGCCTGGGCAACATAGTGAGACCCTATATCGATCAGAAAATAAAAATAAAAACCAAGTGAAAACAACTTCCTACAAGTGCATGCAGGAAATCGATGAAGGCTAAGAGAAACAATAACATGCTTTTAACAAATTGTTTATTCCTTAGCAATAAATCTTTTCATAACTCAGAACTCTGTTGGAAAAAATAGAATTACGTTAGGATGTGCTTTAGTCCAGAAGAAATAGAAGTGTGTCTTCTCAAAAAGGACAAATTAAGGAGTATTTCAAACACAGGTGAAACTTATGTTTCTGAAGTGGATATACATTTG